AACTGATTATATCGCATTTTAAGTTTCAAACTGAGTTAAAAATAGTGGAAGAAAAGCCGTAATTATACTTATTGTACAACCATTTAATAAAATGCAACATTTTTTTGTTTTAATGAAAAAATCAGTTATTTTCATGAGAACGATTTGTTATTCCATCTCAATTTTTTTAATCACCAATCGCAATAACGTAAAGTATTATTACCCGCGAACCAATGAGTCAAATTTAAGAAACAACCCACTGTTCGAAAGCTGAATGGCTACGCTTTAAAATGAATGTAAACTTTAACGTTTTCGTCTATTATTTGTTTAGCAATTTACATTTCAGTCGAGGATTGCGCTTTTTTTGATACACCCTGTATATGTGGTTTTGGCATTTCCTTACTCAAATAATAACCATGTATAAGTGTTATGTTAGAGCACACCCAAACCGGTGGCTGAATTAAGGGATATAATAAATGTAGTTCACTCTGCAACATTAATTTCTAATTATATGTTCCTTCTATTTATCTAGGAAAGTTAAGATGTAGACAGCTTCGTGTCAAGCAAAGACCCAAAAGAATTGCCATTTCTTGTAATGGTTGTCTGGCGACCGTTGAATGCAATTTCTCAAATCTTTATTGTCGCTGACTTGCTGGTACTTTTTCGAGTTAGGGTTGTAATTGTGGAACTGATGGCATGAACTCACATTCTCTTTTCGAGAGGAGGTTAATTAATGAAATTAGGAATGCCGACATATACTAAGTAATATGAACTGAATAAAATCTGAACTCAGTAGGAGAGGGCAATTGCTCTTGTATTGTATATACAGTAGGTATCTTTATAACTGATTGCAGTATTTGCATCAGTTTGGTTCGAATGTTGCATCTTTACTCTGAACGGAGTGCGTACAACCATGCATGCATGTATTGTAGGTCAAAATCACTTTGTTTGTTACTACTGTGTATGCTAATTTTAATTTGTTCTATATATTGGTAGAATACATTATTTTCACTGACACAGTTGTGTTGAGATGACTATATAGTATCTGACTTTATATTATTTCTTTCAGTCATGGCCTTACTCGGAACAATGAGTAAAAAGGTACTCAGCTCGCTGAGAAAAAGGAGAATGTTTAAAGATTTGAGTAGTTTTGTACTCGTTGTTTTGAGTAAGGCACTTCTTTTACTCACTGTGAGTAAATATCGCACTTTACTCACGTTTTAGGTGTCACTGGGAATGGATTTTGGTTTACTCAGAAACTTGAGTAAAATTTTACTCATTGTTTTGCGTAAAACCTGCAGTTTACTCACTGTGAGTAAAAATCGCATTTTACTCACGTTTTAGATGTCACTGTGAATGCATTTTGTTTTACACAGAAATTTGAGTAAAATTTTACTCATTGTTTTGCGTAGAACCGGTAGTTTACTCACAGTGAGTAAAAATCGCACTTTACTCACGTTTTAGGTGTCACTGTGAATGCATTTTGTTTTACTCAGAAATTTGAGTTATTTTTACTCAAACTTTGTGTGTCACTGTGACTGCATTTTTTTACTCAAATATTTGAGTTGATTTTACGCAAGGATTTTTTGCAGTGTTTCTCCAGCTGTAGTAGTCCAGAACGACCAGAAGATGATTGCTTCTTTTGTGGAAAAAAGAAAGCTTCGTCATCCCCTTCATCCGACGCACTACCAGCTGACTCTACTGATGTAGTGCGTTCCGTAGATTCTATTTCGGTTAATTTCCTCTTTATGTACACCATGCCTAAAATTAAAATAGACAAGGAAATTTACGGTCTCATTTCCGAGGAAGATTTGTATGCAATAAAAATGTTAATTACCTTTCTCCAAAACAGTTGTGTCGTTTGTCCACGTTTTTCGGAATTTAGGATGGAGAATAGCAGCAGCGACCATTTCTGGTTCCTGCATTACCGCTGAAAAGCGACGAGTAATTCCGGCTTGCAATGCATCAATTAGAGGAGCGCAAGTATCCATTTCATCTCGTTTCTTTTTTAGCTTGTCTTGCAGCATGTACAGTACGGGAAGGAGGTAACCCATGTAAGCATTGTCTTCAGCTTGCAGGATGTCCAATGCCTGGGCAAAAGGCTGCATGGACTTGTAATACTCTTGAAGAAAGCGAATTTCACCAGCTTTGAATCTGAAATGTTGAAAACAATTGTTCAAAAATTTATCTTTATTATTACTACACCTGAACTGTACTAACCTAAATGTACATGACTGCTTATCCAAAATTCAAAAGCAGCAATCAAACTATTACCTTGGTAGTTTCAACTCATTACACAGTGACTGAAGAGATTCTTCTCCTTTTTCCTTAATGATTCGAACCAGTCGTTCAACTGCCCGGTAAACCGAATTCCACCGCGTTTTATTTGGTTTGATCAATGCTATGCCACACTTCGATTGGACAGCCTCAGCTGCAAGCACTGATCGTGACGATAAATTCCAAAGTGCCTGGCACTTTGCGAAGGCTGAACGAGAAAATTTCTTATACGTGGCATTTTCTTCAGCTTGGTCTGCATCACCTGTTGCTATGAGCTGCAATGTGTGGCAAGCGCATCGCTGATGACTGGGAAGGTCGTAATCTTCATGTTCGCTGTTTTCATCCAGATGCTTTGTGATATTGTGATACATAACATCATCTGATTCATCGGATACCTCGTCCTCGTCATCCTCATTGTTGACCTCCATTTCATTAGTGTTTGTGACATTGTCAGTCCCAAATAAAGAGAAAGCCTTTATAAAATTAGAACCATTGTCTGTGTTGGTCTTGCATATCTTGTTTCCGATACCATAGTCATTGTGGATGTTTTCAAGGGCACTTGCAAGGACATCAAATGTGTGCGATCCTTTAAGCAGGGACCGCGGAGACGGGGGGGCTGGGGGGGCTTTAGCTCCCCCACTTTTTTTGACAGCCAAAATTATTAAAATAGAAATCTAAATGAAACTTTCTAAATTAATTAATTGGGGGTTTTATTGATGATTTAGCCCCCCCCCCACTCTCTAATACGCTCCGCGGGCCCTGTTAAGCCGCTGACAAGCTAACGCTGCAGAAATTCTCTTCATGTCATCTGCGTTGATCCAATGGGCAGTGACACCAATGTACGATTTCCCCCTGGCTGACGAACAATCTGTGGTTGTTGCGACAGTCATGACAGACTCGAAGGTTTCACAAAGGTGGTGCTTCATGTCTGTAGCACAAATTTTCAGACGATTTTTCACAGTTTCACGACACATTACCGTCTTTCCAGGGGAAAAGCTGGTCACCAGTTCTTTGAATGCAGACAAGGCAACAATACTGAAAGGCTGCAAGCCCTCAGTGATGAAATTTAGTATAAGCCTGTCCACTTTTTTTTGCGACACTGTGTTGGTTTTACACTCATAAACACGTAACTGCTTTGCTGGTGGGTTACTTGATGTACATGGCTCTGACTCCCTAGCCCTTTTCTTCCTTTTTTTCAAACTGGTCAGTTCTGTGTAGCGCTTCAGATGATGTGGATGTTGCCTCTGCAATCCAAGTACATTAAAAGTAAAGCAATGATTAAATATTTACAATTTGGACACCTTGAAATAGCCTTTTTGGGAATTAATATTAAACCATTAAAACACAAGTTTCAAATAAGTTCTAAAATTTTATTTGTCACATCTAGGAGAACATGCAGCTAGTTGTAACACTTCTATACCAATTACCGTAAACCTCCGATTATAAGCCTTCTCCCGAATATAAGCCCCCTGTCTATAAGCCCATCACATTACTAATGTTCAACTCCAAGAATAATCACCCCCCTAATATAAGCCCCGCCTCCAATATAAGCCCACTAAACAGATATATAATTAACAATAAATATACAGGTTTATAACCACTATATTTATTTATTTATTTATTTATTTATTAAACTTTGCCAAAAACACTTAACAGAACAGCAAATAGACATCTACACAATAAACATGGACAAAAATGGCAGGGACACCACAACAGTGTAAACCAATTACTGTGGGCCCTAAACAAAAATACACATACAGTACAGAACATATAACATACAGTACATGGACAGGAGACTAAAAACAACAAGTTAGTTCAGAACGTAAGTAACGACTAGTGTTACACTTCAGACAAATAGTCTTCCATGTCCTCGGATCTTCTTCGTCGAAGCATTCTCTCCGGGCTGTCAGGTAGTAAGTTTGCAAATCGGTTTTGAATTGCCTAATATTAATGTCAGGAGATCTTAGTGTAGTTGGTAAAGAGTTCCAAGTTCTGGATGCACGAATAAAGAAGGAGCGTTGGTAGGTAGAAGTTTTGCATTTGGCCGGACGGAAGGAGATTTGGTTGCCACTGGAGAATCTGGTCGTTCTGGTTTGGGACATGACTTCGGGGAGGACGTCATGGGACACGTCGACCAAGCCGTTCACCGCTTTAAAAAAGAACACGAGATCCAAATATTCGTGCCAGTAAGATAGCGGTAAGAGACCCAAACTGGCAAGTCGTTCCCGATAAGTCTCACTGCACAAGTACGGAAGGTTTAAAATGTACTTCGTTGCTCTTCTTTGGACCCGTTCCATACGTTGGATGAGGGTCACGGTTTGAGGCGACCAAGCCTGGCTCGAGTAACCAAAAACCGACCGAACCAAAGACAGATACAGAGTCCGGCGGGTCCTCGCGTCGCTTATTTCCCCAGAACATCGCTTTATAAATCCAAGGAGTTTGTTGGCACGGGTACACCGGTCTAAAATGTGTTTAGACCAGGTTAGATCGCTCGCAATCCAAATTCCCAGATCGTTCTCTGCTGGTATAAGTGCAAGTTCTTTGCCTTTGATGCTATATAGATGATGGATTGGTTGACTACGTCTGGTAATGCTAATACTTTTGCATTTTCCTCCTTTAAACACGAGACCGCTTGACGTGGACCAGGATTGAAGGTTATTGATGTCATCCTGGAGTAACATAGCATCGGTGATGGAGTCAATTTCTACGGAAGATTTTGGTGTCGTCTGCAAAACACGCAACTGTCGAGTTCGTCACAGCGTCTGGTAAATCATTCACATACAGGAGGAAGAGTATTGGTCCTAAGATACTGCCTTGCGGAACACCGGAGCACACTGGTTTTTTGGAAGAAGTAGCGCCAAGAGTTGTGACGCGCTGTTGGCGGTCATGTAGATACGATGTGAACCATTGGAGAAGAGATCCGCCAATGTTATACTGTTGGAGTTTGTTTATCAGAGCTGTATGGCTGACCTTGTCAAAAGCCTTTGACATGTCCATGAAGATTATATCGGTTTGTTTACCAGAGTCTAAAATGGATCCAATGTAGTGCAAAACTTCGACTAGCTGGGTTGTGCATGACCTTCCAGGAATGAAACCATGTTGAGCGGAGTTAATTAGGGACATCAGATAATCTCTCAGGTTTCTCAGCACACAGCGCTCGAGGACTTTGGATGTTACACACAGAAGCGAAATTGGACGGTAGTTTTCAACGTTGGAGATGTCACCTTTTTTATGGATAGGGATGATGTTCGCGAGCTTCCATTCCTCTGGTAAGGAGCCATGTCGGAGTGATTGATTAAACAGTAGACATAATGACGGAGCAATTTGGTGAGCACATTCCTTTAGTATTCTTGGTGGTATTTCATCCGGACCTGTGGCTTTGTTGGTATCGAGGCTGAGGAGTGCAGCTAGAACATCATCAGGAGAAAGAATTAACTCTGACAAGTTGCTATCAGTTGGCGAGGATGGATTGTCCGTTTGAGTTGTTTTGTCGCTTCCAGACACAATGGAGGAGAAGTAGTCGTTGAACAGTTCTGCTATGTCGCGAGGACATGAAGCTGAGCGGGCCGAGTCAGGATCTAATCCATTTGATCCCATTGTCATTGATCCTGGAACACTGGCACGTTTACTGTTGATTTTAAAGACAGACCAGAATCTTTTGGGATTATTGAAGAGAGCTTCGCTGATGTTCTGGAAGAACTGACAACGACTTTCAGTGATCAATCGTTTCACCTTGGATCGCAAAGCCTTGAACTTGTTTCTCAGTACGTCCGTTGGCGATGTTTTCAGTTTCCGACGCACGGTCTCCTTTTTTCTGATAGCGTGGATTATCTCACCGTTGATCCAAGGCGGATTATTGACGTTGCTGATGGTTTTTATCGGAATACTGTCGCGTACAACACTGAGAAATAGTTCTTTCCATTTCAACCAACCGTGGTTAATGTCCACTGCTGACTCGACTGCACCGCAAAGGTCAACCGACTCTAGAGTTGCACGAAGTCCGTCGAAGTTCCCTCGGTTATAATCAAAGACAGATCGTTTAATTTTCGGACGTGCTTTGAACGTTGTCGCAATGTCGAACGTGATTGCTGAGTGGTCGGTTATTAAACCGCTTTGGCTAGGACTGATTACAGACATATTTTGAACGTTTTCAGCAACACTGCTGATGACGAGATCGAGGATGTGGTCGCCTCTTGTTGGAACTCGATTTACTTGTGTTAGGTAGTGATCGTTCAGAATTTCTGTGAACTGGACTTCGTCTTCGCCGGCTGTTAACTCTGGCGATTCCCAACAGATCTTCGGAAAGTTGAAGTCACCGCATATCAGTATATTGGCGTAATCTGAACACTTATTAGCCAAAAAGAGGTTGAACTCGTCCAGCCATTTCCTGTTCATAGTCTGCGGGGTCTTGTACGTACAACATGCCAGGTATTTCTTGTTGCAGGTAGATGTTAATTCTATTGCAACTAGTTCTAGATCGCTGTCAGTAACAATCTCGCGAGACGACAAAAAGGAGCTAGACTTTAGTGCAAGGAGAACTCCACCAGCACGAGTTTTACGATCTTTACGGTAGATAGTATAATCACTCCAGGGAAGTATTTCTGAATTCTCGATGTCATCTCTTAGCCAAGTCTCTGTTACCCACACGATGTCCGCTTGTTCGGTGTACACAAGGTTTTGGAAGTTAGTCAAGTGGCAGGATTGTTTACCATTTAACCTATGCGAGCTTATTAAACTTCGAGCGTTGATTACAAGACATCTCGCGAAAAAACTTTGGCTGCCGTTTGGTTGATGGTTGTTTCTTCTCGTGGGTCCAGGATTGGTAGCTACATCACCGGCGAGTAGAATACATAAGAAGACATGGGCTTTATTGTTCTTGATGTCGAATTGCAGGCCATAACGGTAAATGGTTTTAAATGGAAATGAAGGCTTTCGCAGAGAATTGTCGCGGGTCGAGCTCCAAATATGACTTAATTTCTCCGGTATTGACAATAGTTCTGCAGAAATCGTTACTTTGCCGGGAATTCTTGCAGTGTTCAGTTCGACAAGTACAGGTTTAGATCTTGTCGCTAACCAAAGAACGAATGTAAGAAGTATAAAAAATTCAGCTGTTAAGCAAAGCAAACGTTTGCAATTTCCCGAGTTCCTTTTTTCCATCATTTCATAGAGTTTGATCAGTTGAATTGGATCCAAGAATACAATTATTTGATTAAAGCTGTTCTAAATGAATATTCTAATTTCAAATTGGCTGTTCTTGCGCTGACGTATACTGTAGTCGCGTGCGCCGTATGCTTGCGCGATAATCTAACGACTCCAACTGAAATTTCAAACTTTCGTCGTCAATAAACACTGTACAGAGTTTTCTTAAACGCCAAATATCCAGCTATTTCCTTCTCAAATTATAATAAAATGTAAGGTTCCAGGTAGATCAAACCTTTGATGATAGATAGGCAGAAATTTTCGTATGGATTCACGAAAAAAGTGGCAAAAAATCCGCATTTATTACGGACTGGCCAAACGCGCGCCCTCGCGTCACGGCGCGATCACAAGTTAAGTTATATAAGTTTTTAACCAATATACAGGTCTATAATTAGTAATAAAAATACTTGGTCGTTCATGTATAAGCCCCACCCCCGAATATAAGCGCCTTCCTGTGTGTAAGCTCATAAAAAAAAACACTTACAAACTGATATAAGCCCAGGGCTTATAATCATAAGCCCAGGGCTTATAATCGGAGTTTTAGGGTAGTTAAATTTTATAGCTGGGGACCATTCTTGCAATATATCATTTATATTCCACCCCTCCACACACACCCTCCCCAACACACACAATGACACACAAACATTACATACATACATTGACCTGAACACAAACCTAGTTTCCTTTTTAAAACTTAAAACTTCGTTGAAATTTAACGTAACCGCACATTGGGCTATTCCAATTTCTATCCGCACCCTCCGGTGAGGAACATATTTAGATATTTTACATGATTATTTGTATAGAAATGTATTTGTCAACTGCACTACACTACATCCGATGAATTCCCGGGTGGCAATTTCAAGTTTTTAGAACCCTACCATTACCAAACAGACAAAGGCATAAAACAGCTTACCTGTACATGTTTTCTTAGGTTTGAAGGCGACGAAATGAACGCAGATATCTCTCTAACAAGTGGCGAGCAAAGGCAACATATGAATTTGATGCTCTTGTTCTCTCTTCCCACTCTTCCATTGTAGCGAAACATTGACTTCAAATATGGCCAAGGATGTTCCTCCTCTTCTCCTTTTTTACCGATAGTATTAACACCTTCTAGTCCTTGTCCTTCGTTCAAGACTTCGTCTGCAATATGCAAATCACTGTCGGCCATGGCTGCCCAAGCAATTCGAGTAGAGTTCAATGATTGGGCCAGTGAATTCGGCGCAATAATTTGGCGCGAAACGCGTGTATTGTCGCATGTGTTCAGCGGAATATATTAATTGTCTGTACTTCGTGTAAATAACTATAAATTTGATTGCGATTGGAGTCGAGTTTAAAAATCGAAATTCATTTTAGAAATCACCGAATCAGGTAAAAGATAGAACTAAAATTTGATAATACCATAAAAGTAACGGAATACTTCACCGCAAAATAAAAAAACGAAGTAAAACGTTACTTTTTGAATTTACTTCGTTCCAAGTAGAAGTACTCTGTCAAAAATTTACTTCGTTACTTGCTCACTTCTCAAAATTAGTACTCAAGTAAAGTAACGAAGTACATTTACTTCGTTACTTGTCACCACTGTGCAAACCCTTATTCTGTGCTGCAAACAGTCTGAAGAGAGCTATTTTGATAGTATGACAAACCCAGAAGTTTAAAAACGTCACAAAATATAAAACCGGTTTTTCAAGTTCTCAAACGGCAACGTCAGCATGGAAGAGAGATTTGTATCGCGTGCCACCAGAGGTTCTCCTCGCCTCGCGTAAAATAAATACGAACGGGAATAAGGCGAAAGATACAGAACCTCTAGCAACCAGGGTACTCCGATCCTTTCCATGTATCGGCAAATTCAAGCACTATATCTCTCTCCTCCACAGAGGCTTACATGAAGTTTCTCGTGAGGGAAAAGTGAGCGAGCAAGGAGTGATCGAAAAAGCGAAGTAAAGGAAGCATCTGCTAATTGATGCAATCAATATGTCGTCGCTTATAATATCATTTGGATTTCGATTCAATATCAACCTTCGAGGTGTTAAAACATGTTTTCCACTTTTCTTTTCAGGCATACTCGAGTCTCCTGGAGTGAATCCAATATCAATGTCTTCTTCTGTCCATTTGCACCGAAAAATATTGAGAAATTGCAAATGAATATAAATGGTATGACCTATCTAAATATAACTAGAAGTTACTATCGCAAGGAAAGTGCTGCCTCATCCCTAATGGATCAAAGTCAGCATGTGCAATTTGCTGAATAGGGCCATTTATACGGAACAAAATAAGACGCGACTTAGATAAGACGCGACTTAAGGAAGACGCGAGTTTGTGGTATAAAAGGTACAAAATTCTTATGTAAGACGCGTCTTCGATAAGACGCGTCTTACATAAGAACAGGTCTTTTAGCTGTTCTTATTTAAGTCGCGTCTTAAATAAGAAATTTTGGACAAAAAGTGTAACTACACATACCAGAAACTTGAAACAACATAAAATTTAATGCCTTGCATAGCTATAGCAAATAAATAAGTCCAAAGCCGTAGAGAACCATTTATGCGATAACTCCACTTATTTAAGTCGCGTCTTATGTAAGTCGCGACTTATTTTGTCACGTATAAATGGCCCTATTAAGGGGCTGTTTAATATATGATCCTGCTTTGCCAGGACGAGATACAGGGTGATTTCGATGTATTGAAATAAGTCATGGTCTACAACATTTCAGTTCTGTTAACGAGCATTTGAACTTTCATTTAGCCTAGTGACTTATTTCAATTAATACAGGGATGGATTTACTGGGGGGGGGCACTCCCCCCCCCACCCCCTAGCCATGGCCAGGAGGGAGTGCTATTTTTCATGATAAAGCAAAAAATTATTAGAGACAAAATGAGATTCAGTAATTTGAATAATAACATGATGATAAGCGAACTGTGAACAACAATTACAATTCAAATACTGTAGTCAAGCAAGACTTTGCAGTAGTGGAACAAGTTGATAGACGGGTAAAATCACTGGAAACCAATTGCAACGTACGGAAAATTTTTTTGCCTAAAACGTTGTGGCCGGGGGGGGGGGTCATTGCTCTCCGAAAAAAAATTTTCCGGAAATTTTTTTTAAATAGGGGTGCCTAAAAAAAATTGCACCAACCTACCAGATCATGCTGGATCCATCCCTGAATTAATACTAGCTCAAAATCATCCCACCTTCCATCATGTAAACAGCCCCTAAGACCTGTTCATGGCGTAGGAAAATGCATTTTGAATACCAAACACCTTGCACAATGTTGAAGGTCAGCTAAATATTCTATTTCTACTTTGTTGGCATGGGTGATTTTATATGAATACCTTCAATGCTAATAACTTCTTGCTTTTGTATGTATAATTATAATACTGTCAGTGGTGAAGCTAGCCATAGCAACAGGTCATGCTATGCAAGTTTTTAATTATTTGCATTGCACGTTTATTAACATAGCATGACCAGTTGTCATGGCTAGCTTGCCACTGAATGCTGTACAGTATCATATATATAAAAAATAATAATACTTGAATGAACCATTGGACATGTAGAATTAAATAACAATTTCATATATAGAAATAAGTCAATTTTTGTCCCAGTTATCATTTTTATGGCACCTTCAAGGCTATGTTCACAGAACTGAATAATCTGCTGATGGGGAGACAAAATTTATTTGTTGACATTCTTGTTTGATGCGTATGTATTCGTCTGCTTCAGATGACACCATTCATTTGTAATGACTAAGATTGTACTCAGTCAGAACTGCAAAGCTATATAATAGGAAAGAATTTGTGAGCATTATCGAAAAATATAGTGCACCCTGAAATGTACTGACACAGGCACACAACAAGGGTGAATATATGAATGTAGGCCGGTAAGATTATTTCATATTTATGTAAACAATGGACATATCTCAGAGATATATTTTTACAGACCGCCATACCTTGTACAAAAATGACATGTTATATTAATACATGTAGGCTATTAAACTGCAGTTATCAAGTTAATATATGCAGACAACAATCGCCAATCCACACTGTCGTCTGTCGCTGGGTTATTAACTGCATGGGTTCAATATGGCAGGTTGCTATGGGAAATATCTTTACATTATAAAGTATAAACAACATTCAGCGTTTGTTTTTAAAACGTTCTGAAAGCAAATTGCTATGTCTATGAACATCTAGAATGAACACTAAACTCATCGCATTGGCACATCGCCACACAAACAAATATAAAACCAAAAGTACATCATTTTGATTCCTAAATATATTAAAAAGACGATCTATTGTTTCAAATACCTCATATCGAACGCTAAACATCAGATCTAAATATAAATGCCTTCATGTAATATCACCAGAAAGAAATAAAGCTATCCTTACCTGAATTATTCAAAATATTGTCGATTTGTGAAAATCCAACATATATCATGCGAGCGCAATACAAAATAAATTTTGACCGCCCCCCTCGTTTAAAAAAACTTCCTGAAGCCTTAATTATTTCCCCGGAATTACGACATCTTTACAAACAGACAGAAACAAATTCTCAAATCGAAATCTCGATCGACTATACATAACTCGGCCAAAGAGACTGGACACAAGTAAACGCAGACACGCAATACTTCATGTTAAGAATAGTGTGCTGCCTTCGGCAGCAAATATCCTCTAAATTGCAATATTTCTTTATAAAAATGACTCTACTGACCTTCGATACTCAGATTATGAAGATTTATTTCAATTTCTTCCACATTTCCGTCCATTTCAAGTTTAATTAAAAAAATGTCAAACAAAAGTTTGGTTCAAAACCATACTTTTTTTGCATTATGTGGCAGAGCCTCCTCGCCTTCATTTCAACTTCCCATCACTCCGCTCACTTCTATTCAGGAAACTTCGTGTAAGTTATTCGTAAATACTTATGAAGGCTCCGCGGAGAGAGAGAGCACTAAATACTGAAAAGGCGTTAGAAATCAGTAAAATGTGACGTTGGATTGTTCAGAACGTGAACTTTAATGAATTTCAAACAGCTTTGTCAGATATGAACATGCAAAATCACAATTCAACAAAATGTCCGTTTTTGAATGTCAAACAATTTCAGAAAGTATCCATAAACTAAAGCAAGAAGAATTCAAGGACTTTCAAGTACATTTTACAAATTCCAAGACATTCAAGCCCTTGAATTTTCGTTTTCAAATTTATTTATTTATTTATTTATTACGCTTTGCCAAATCAACTTAAAATCACTTGCTATACAACATTAACATTAACGATACATACATTGACATGGCTGGGTATACGATACAGCTTTCGCCAATTACAGTGACCCTTTACACAATACAAGACAAACTTTAAAATATCGGAGGTTAAAAGAAGAACATCTCACCAATTTCTTCTTATACACAAATTTGTGTATATTCAAGCTTACTAAATTTATACCATGCAGAATATTTATATTTTAATCGTTTTTCAAATATTCAAACTGGTTTTAAACACGGCTCACAGAGAATTCTGCTTCTTCCTCCAAAAACTAACAACAGCACGATATGGGAGAACACAGGTTACGAGACGCATTACAAGACAAACGTATAGATTTCCAAGTTCGAGGATCCTCTGCGTTCTAAACATTTCGTAAGGCAGATTTATAGTGTTTGAGAAGTCCGCTTTTAAATCCGTTAAATGTAGTGTTTTTATCTGTCAAGTCTTTTGGTAAAATGTT